CCGCCAGCGTAATTGCCCGGAGGCGGGTTTGGAAGGCGCTCGTGTCAGGGGCATCAGCAGGCCTGGGTTACGAGCGCAGCTGCGATGAACGAAGCTTCAGCTCCGGTAACACCGAATTTTCCTGTTGGGATATTTGTGGTCGTAAAGCAGCCGCTGCTGGGCTCGGTTAGCGTGAAGGGGAGGGGGTTTATATGTTGGTTTTACTTAATAAAGCAGAAGCCAGTACCAATACAGCATTAATCTAGCTTACATTCAGCTTTTAGTATCCTATCATGCTCTTCAGCGCTGCAAAATAATTTGTTATGCAGTAACAAAGTAACACGAAGCAGACGCGATTAAAATTGAAATTGGACTCTGACAGAGATCAGGCAGAGCCAGAGAAGATCAGCAACAGGCCTGATGTTGTTTTTACTGTGATAGTTATTACAGCCAAGCTATCAAGAGGTTTCAGTTATTAGATAAAGTTACATAATTGGAAGTTTGGAAACGTATATTTGAGTGGCCTATTGAATCTGGAGATTGAAAATGTATGTTCAAAATAATTTAAAAGTACAGTTCAGGACACCATTACTTAAAGGGCTTTATAATAACAAGGAGTTTACTCCTCTTGTTTTACAAGTGAGTTCTCAAAGCATTCGTCATGGATTGCTACAAAGCTGAAAGTAATTGTGTGATGGGGAAAATGAGATGTGATCTAACAAATGGCATATAAGCTGCTGAATAGCTACATGCATATTAAAGCTTGTGGATTTCCAGCAGCCATTTCTAGAATGGTTTAAATTCTGTCTCACTTTGTTTCTTCTTTGAAATTTCTGCAGTTGGTACTTAAAATTGCAAATATTTGATCATTATTTATCTTAAAAAAAACTTAAAATTATTTCCGCAGTGATGTCATATATAAGTATGTGAGTACTGTATAGGAAAGCTAGTTTCTTGAATGACATAGTATCTTCTTCTGTCTTGGACCCACTTCTAGTGTTAAATAATTTAGAAGTGATTATGTTGCTGGTGATGTACAGCAATTAGCTTTTGTGGGGGGAGAAAAATCCTGTGAGTGCCAGCAAGAACTGCTGATATTCTTGTTAGCTCAGCATTCCTCAGTAGAATGTATTTTGTGAACAGGAACTTCTAGCTGAATATTGCAACAAAGATATTAAACTAGCAACTAAAATTTGGATAATTGATTTAGGGCTAAGTAGGAAAACCTGGTCCTCTGTGACCACTACCGAATTCTTTACAAGTAGTGCATATAGAACAGAAAGATAATCTGATTTTGTAGAGGTTTGAAAGCTACTATAAAAATGCCAGATGCTTACCTGATAGCATAAAGTTAACTTGATAATTAACTGAGCACAGCCTTTCTGTGAACTGTTTCTGGTAATGCTGCTGGTCTTTCTCATCTTTCTGCTGTAATATGATTATGAAACTTGTCACAATATGATTCCTAATGATCTTCAGAGCCTTGAATTTCCTGTAACTTTTTTTTTTTCCTTTCACTTAAACTATGGCCAAATAATTAGTATTTTCAGAAGATTTTTAACAGTCAGGAGTTAACAAATGTGTATAGAAATGTGGCTTCATTATAAAGATATAAAATGTCAGAAAAGATGCCAAAAATACTAGCAAAATAAATTCCTTGATTTATCTTACAAAAAGTTAACTTAGGAAACAGTTTTCTACCTTTAACAGAACTTTCCTTTCTCTCTGCTTGACTTACACAGTTTACATAGACTAGGTTCTCTCATTTAATCTTTTGTAAAATGTAAGGTTTAATATTGCAATGTTGGCATAGTTTTTCTTGCCGATTTCTGCTGCTTTAGTGGTTAAGGACTTGACATATTAATGAGGAATTACAAGCCCTTGCTCATGGTTCTCTCTGCCCCTGAAACTAGTATTTGGCTATTTTGTCATTTTGTTTAGAGTCAGTGCTATATTTGCCGGTAGATTTTATTTTTGTTTTTACATGAAGAGCTACACTGAAAAAGTGTGCAGATTGTATTTGAGTTACATCTACATGTGTATGTATACATTTACCTATTTCAAGATCCTAAATTTTTTACATAGTTAAATTGAAAGATCATTATTATTCACATCGTGATATCTTTTGAGAGTGAACACAGCCTTTAAATTTGTCATCTGCATATTTGAAAGTGTAATGCTTCGTTGGCAGTATTCAATTTACTCACAGGGCTAAGGTCAGGAATTGCTTCAAGCCTCCCAATTTATTTAGAGATACCTGTTTACTAAATGCTTTATGTAAGTAATTGACAAGCTCATATACAGTGCCTAGCAAAATGGGAACTTTATCTTAGTTGAGTCCTCTATCGCAGTGATAGTAGCCCTTTTTGAAATGTTGTATTTGCTCAGAAATATTCCTTATCTGCTCTTTTCATCCCTTAGGAAAGTCCCCCTTCCACCTGCCAGCCCTAAGCTGTTATTGCTTACCCACACAAACTGTTTTTTAGCTTTTGCACGTTGCTGTATGCTCTGCCTGCTCAGCAGGGACAATAGCAGCAGCAGCTGGAGCAGCAGGTGACTTGATGGGTTTATGCTTATAGTCCCAAATGCCAGTTCTGGCACACCTACCATCAATTCATTTAATAGCTCCTGATTTTATTCCAACAGTGCTTGGGGATCCCCCTTTGGGATGAAGGTTAGTAACTTCCTTCTCCTTGGAGAGGTTTAGTTGCTCAAAACCAGAAAAAAGTGGCACTGAGCAACTGCAGCTCTGGGAATGTATCTTTAAAAAAAGTGGCTATGCCTTATTTTAATCTAGCTAGGCAATGAAAAATAAAGGCAGAGTTCTTCATCTTGTGAAGGAACATGTTTTATTTACAGCTAGAATTTTCATAAATTAATTGCAAACACCAGCATGATTTGCCAACGCCCACTTTCATCAGACCGCTCATCCTTGTGCTGCTACTTTTTAAATGACCGATTGTGGTACAGATTCCTCTTGTGATGCAACTTTACTGGTAGCCCTAAATATTTTATCCTGGTCCTGAGAATGAGAATACCCTCTTTATGCATACGTTCTTGCTGCCAGTTGTATATCCTATTTATGGTGTGACTCAGTAAGCTTTTTTTTTTTTTTTTTTAAACTTGCCTGATAATTATTTGTGAATAGCCATCAACATTTAATTTGGATTTTATGTCCAGCAGGCTCGCAGATGGGTCAGGGACTCTGGAGAGTTGCTAGGAACCAGCAATTGCAACACCAAGGATACACTGGACAAGGCTATCTTACCAGAGAACATGGTAGGAGGATAGCTGCTAACAATGTTTCCAACACAAGCCATCGCAAACAAGCCCAAGGAGGCATTGACATCTACCACCTGCTGAAGACAAGAAAATCTAAAGAACAAGAAGGATTTATTAACCTGGAAATGCTACCACCAGAGCTTAGTTTTACTATTTTGTCATACCTGAATGCAACCGATCTTTGTCTAGCTTCCTGTGTCTGGCAGGATCTTGCTAATGATGAGCTTCTCTGGCAAGGGTAAGCAAAAAAAAAAAAAAGTATCATCTGAACAAAGTAAAAATAATTATTAGACTTAAAATTTATCTCAACATGTGCTTTTTGTCATTCTAACCTTAATAAAGGTTTCCTAAGTTAAATGAGATTTGACATAGGGGAAACATGAATATAGTTTAAAAATGTGTTATTCTGGATTTCTAATTACTATCAGGTATTAGTGGAGACTATTCATACACAAGTATGCTTGGTACAAGTATACATGTGTATTACTACACACCTGTTGTTTGATATATCTTGGGGAAAAAAACAAGGACTTGTCTTCACTTCCGTATTAGCTCAAAGCACATCTCAAATGTTTGTATTACTATTTCTCTGAACTTCAAACAAGTATCTAGCTTGAGCAAACAAATCTATTCAGCTGAAGCTCCAGGTAGAAAGGGTTGAGAACTCATCTACTATCCTTGTCTTAGAGCAGCTTAAGTATATGGGTTTTGGGCAATGGTGGTGGAAGGGGAAAAGAAAAGGTCAGTTCTGCAAACATGTCAAGTGGAATTTCTGTAGTCTAACAGCTGAAACACATTTATATAACATATGCAGAATTTGTGTGGCCAGGAAATAAATAAAGGAATGTTCTATAAAATAAAATAGTATAAGATCAAAATTTAATTTAAAATATTTTTGTTGATGTTTGGTGTTTTACAACACAGGAAAGTCATGAAATCATACTTATCTTTAGAGTAGATGGTCAGTAGAACTTGCATGTTCTTTCACAACTTATTCTTATCCCTTAACAGACAATAAGTAATATTACTGTAATAGTTGGGTGGTTATTGAGGTCCTGTTTTTTTTCTTTTCATTGTGCTCTACATCTCTTTCTTCCTCATCTGTTTCTTTGCCCCTCTGCAAGCTTCCCTTCCTGTCATGCTTAGTGAACTCAGCAATAGGCTAATGCAGTTATAACTTCTTAGTCACAGTTGTTCTGCTGTTGGGGCCTGTTGTCTTGGCAGGAAACAGGAATTGTAGTGAAGATCCTGCTAAGCTTCTAAGTTTATATATATCAAATAGTTTGACAGTTGAGTAAGTATGCATTGTATTGTACTCAGTTCTTGGTTATCAAAACCACACTAAATACAAATAAATTCTCTCAACCAAAGCTTGGGAGATACTAGAGCTTCTTAATTGTATGTAGTATATATTCTTAGCATACAGGGGGAAGAAACTACATATTTTCCTCAGAGTTCATCCTGAGAAATAGCTTGATTATTTTTAGTGAAATCTTCCCAAATAATACTCAGTTCAAAGTATACACTTCGGTAGTGAAAATGTGTCCTGATTCAGCAAATTAATAAAAATCTTAAATTGCATAATCTCTGTAGACATCTTAGTCTTCAGTATTCTACCTGTATTGGATGTGTTTGAGTTTAGGCTTTGGCAAGTCCTGTGGCTGCAGTTCTGAACTCAGTCCAAATAAGACCCAAGTTCCTGAACTGAAAAATGAAGTTTCTCCCATGTCCTCAGTGGCTACCTGCTGGGTTCTAAGCATTGTGCCTAATTATTTACAAAACAGATGTGTTGAAGCAGAACTACCAGTTCAATAGGGAATCTAGATAACAATCAGAGTGCCTCAAAAGTGAAAGTTCAAGGGAATTTCGGACAGTGTCATCAAGGAGACTGAGATGAGGACAGAAACAGATGAAACTGAGATACAGAGACATGGGTGAGATAGAAGGGAAACTGAGAAGCAATGGAAGATATAGAGGGATGGGGCTGATCAAGTAATTAGGAGTGGTCAAGACTGGAAAAAGGACAGTCAGGTGGCAGATGGGGAAAGCAGTGAGTTAATGCCATATTTTTGTGCCAATGTGGTGTCCCGCTCACTGCACAAAAGGGGCACAAGAAAAGAAGCACAATTTTTTTTTAAACTGTCGTGCGGCTGCAGGAGAACAACTTGTCACAGTTCTCCAATGTTCAGATACTCGGATTGCCAGAGGTCTCAGCTGTGTGGATGTCATTATGATGCCACCTACTGGGATATGTTTTGAGATTGCACTCAGATACACCAAAACCCATGTGAGAAGAAAACAATAATCATATAAATGAAGACTTTAGCAACACACATGCAAAAATCTTAATAGATAAGTATTACAAGCAACCTATTTCTAACTTTCTCTATAGTTTGAGTATTTGGCTTTGCAGTGTTGATTACATTTTGCTTCTGTAAAATACATGAAATAGAGAAAAGAATTTTGATAATAGACTAATTCTATTTTCATAGGTTGTGCAAATCCACTTGGGGTCACTGTTCTATATACAATAAGAATCCGCCTCTAGGATTTTCTTTTAGAAAATTGTATATGCAGCTAGATGAGGGCAGTCTCACCTTTAATGCCAACCCTGATGAGGTAAGTGAACTGTTGCTGACAGTCATAAACAGTTGAAATTACTGTGATTGTTGTTTTATTATTATAGCTATAGTAAAAGCCAAGTTTTAATAGGTGTTTGTTTTACTGTAGGAATGGTTAATACTGTTACAGCCCTATCCTGATCTTTTTTTGCATATGGTACCTGTGCACATCATTTAAATGGCTTGCCTCTTAAGTGCTCTGTACAGTGGTCTGACCTATGGATGCCAGAAATTCATAACCATGTATTGACTTAAGAAACAGGCAGAGATCCTAACTGAAGAGACGATGGTGAATTTAAAAAGGATAATAATACACTTACATAAATCAAAATGCTAAAATGCTTCTGAAGAGTATGAGTTTGCTCCCAGTTCAGTTAAAGCAGGATGAGGTGCAACGTGACAGTTATGGTTTCTTGTAAGGGGTTTTTAAATATTTCCACTATCAAGGAGTAAATCTTGAAATATAATGAAAAAGATGTACTGCTGAACTATCCTAAAGATCAGTTTCATTTGATTTCTGTGGATGTTTGTTACGAATAAACATCATCTTTCTTTATAGTATATAACAACATATATTTATTTAAAAAAATATCCCATGTTAAACTAAAAGGCTTCTTTATTCCGTTTATTTATTCCATTTATTAATTCATATAACTAACTGGAGAAGTCAGTTTCTGCTTTAGCTCTGTCACCTTTCAAAGAAGAAAACAGTTTGAGAGTAGATAGCTTTTGCCTGGGAGATAGGCAATTAATGCCCAAGTGACAAAGAGAGTCTTTTGTGTACAAAATCAGACTCCTGCTTCATGTTTCCTAGGAAAAGCAAGTGCACAGTACTGAACAAAAAGTAGTATTAACTTCCTGCATATATTTATACATACAGAAGGAATTGGTAATTGAATAAATTCAAAGTAGGAAAAGGATTGAGAGACATGGAAAGATATAGTTCTAGGAGCTAATAGTTCGCTCTGCTGATATGATACAGAAAACATGAACTTGTGACCACGGGGTGAAATAAATAAAGTAGTCATATGAATCATTACAATAATGTGATTTTGTTTAAGTTCTTGCTTTATCTCATATTCTGCTTGATAAAGAAACCCACTACTATTATTAGTCACAAATTACAGTATTTTGTAATTTCTCTGGTAGAGCTCTGCCTTGAACTGTGATATGCAGTGCTGAGACGTCTTATCAGCACCTTGCCACTTGAGTGATTAGCAGTGATTTTCAGCAGGCTTTTAGTGAATTTAGTAATAAATGTAAAGCTTTTCTAATGGAATGCAATATTTAGGTAACTTAAATGTGTTTTCAAGAATATATCAAAGCTGTTACCAATTAAAACTTGTCCACCCAAGTTTTTCTTTGTCTTTCAATTTGTTTTAACATAATTTTTCACTTACTATGTTAGTTGATAATATGCTGTTATATTCCAACCTAATTTAAAGCATTTGGAGCCTTCACAAAAGGCACTGAGTAAAAAATTAGTTATTTTTAAAGGAAATTAAGATCTGCAAATAAGAGCTACCTTATAGGATACCTAAATTAGGTATTAAATTTATTATGCTACACTTACTTTTTCTGGGTTCACTACGGTTATATCATACAGTAGCAGTCAAACAGTCTGCTTCAGGCCTAGTGAGAGACAAGAACCTCAGGATATCTCCTAAGGGCTTCTGTTCCTCTCTCCCTGTGGAGCACCATAGCCTGGTAGGAATCATTCAGGGCCTGAGTTTCAGGAGAATTCACAAATACTATTGCTTTTATTGTTACAACTGTGATATTGGCAGAATTATTATTATAAGGACACTGTGACTGGAATATATGATATGACATTCCACTATTACAAATTGTGTCTCCGAACTTCCTGCCAAACTCTGCTTTACATTTGATAACAGACCTGATCAAATTACTATAAAAATAGGAACACTTACAGCCACAGGAGCAAGATTCTCCAAAGGACACCGCCCATGTCATGAAAATGGGTAACCAGGCTCCACAGCAACAGCTCCAGAGCTAGCGGTGGCTCACGGGGTAGGGAAGAGCATCTACACACTTTGTGGTAGGATTCTCTGGTTAGCCATTGTTGTGTGCATGGTATTGTGATATCCGCTGTAATTTAATGTATTGGTTGTGTGCATGAGCTTGCATAATTCATAGCAGGTGCTCACATTCTGCTGAAAGGATGTGCCTAATCACATTACGCATAATCTGAAAAAAAACCTCCAGTGCATGTTTGGTTTCTCTTTTTTTGTTTGTTTAGTTGTTGGTTTGGTTTTTTTTTTCATACGGCAGCACCACTGTAGCCAATATTTTGGAACTTGGCATTTGTTTCTTTGGGGAGAGGGGGTGGTTTGGTGTTAGTATTAACACTTGAATATGAATACTATGTTGTTTAATCTGCCTACATGGTCTCTGCTGTATTTTATTCTAAAGAGTGTATGGTGTACGTGAAATGTTTCTCATGCAGTGCTCATTTCATATCTCATACGCTTATGACTCAGAATTTGTAAGCAACCAGAAGTTATTTCCCACTGTTTTGTATACTGTTTCTAACTCCCTACAAAATATTTTGCCAAGTTTATTACATGGAGCTATACTATGTAGTTAAAATTGGAACTGAAGGTGGAAAAGAGAATCCTTTGGTCAGGAAAGAAGATCTAATTTTTGTTTCATTCTTAATGATTCTAACTGATTCTGTTTAATAGCATTTATTTTTATGGAATTTTTTTCTATTCAAATCTGGACTGGACTGAAACTTTCAGACTTCAGTGAGGTCAGGTTTCCTTTATGTAGCATAATAAGTACAGTGAGGCAGTGCTTATACTAAGCCTGGCTTTCCACTCTTCTGATTGTCTCAGTCGTTATCAACTGCCCTTAGCTTTTGCCAGGGAGGTCAGTTTTCTGACCTTTTCTTGATTATAAATGGTTAGCCACTTGCATAAAGCTACCTTGCCTGACTTTTAATTATAGACAGTCTAGATGATGAAATATTTACTGTGCTGTATATTTCTAACCAAATTTTTTGAAAACTTACCATATTTCATAGTGATCTACTAGAACAAGCCAATTTTGAGATGCATTGATTTATCTGTCCCAAGAATATTAAAATTACATGTATGTTGTAGAGGGAAGAAGTTCTTTTGTGTGATTTATCTCAAAAGTTGGAATGGACCAGACTGCTGAAACCTTTTGAAAGCCCTACATTTAAGTCAGAGAACTTTAATCTTTCAAACTATTATTTATGGATTCTGTGTAACATGAAAAATATTTCTACATTCTACTTGTGATTTCTGCCATCATAAGTGTGTATCACTGAGACTGCTTTTTAAAGACATGCAGTGAAAAACACTGTTTAAAATTTATGTTCTATATTGTGTCCACGTTTGTTATCAAATGACTTGATTCATAACTTAGGAAAAGAATCTTAAAAATTTCTATTAGAAAATATAACATCAGTACTGTGCATTTTGTTCCAGCAGATGCACCATGAAGTATATTAAGATACTGCATTTCCCTAGAAAAAATGGGAATAATAATGCCATGCATGTCTAATTATTATTCACTAATAATGTTAATGTTACCTAGAGGCCCCAATTAGAAATTGAGGCCCTACTGTGCCTGGTACTGTATATACAGAATAAAATGACAGTCGCTGCCCCCAAAGAATTTATCTAAATAATTAAGCTAGTATTTAAACTTGAATTCCTATATCTCTTCAGCTTTTGTTTAAGAATGGTTTCATTTGGTGATCAAAATAATTTTTTTTAATACAGTACAGACTAGGAAAAAAAGCATTTTATGTTGATACCTAGGTAATCCTATCAAAATGTAAAAGGATGTAACTTACAGAATTATAAATCACCTAGCAATGTTAATGTTAATATCCTACTAGTGATTTCCTTAGTCACCTTTTAAAACTATTTAAGCTAAACGATTAGAGCATGTGTACAACCATTTAAATGAAATTTGAAATTTCAAATATTAAGTGAAATTTTTCTTTATTTTGTCATATATTTTCCTGCACTACTTTTAAATGCAAATTAGGTAAAAAGCTTCATTGTCTCCCAACCCTGACTTTGCAAACAATTCCATTTAAATATTAAAAAGAGAAATAATATATACCTGTAGAAAAATACTGATTCCAAAATTTCTATACTGTTAACTTAGAATATGTCTGGCTTGTTTTCTATGCAAGTCTAAACAGAGATGTCAAAGGCAACTACAAAAGCTTTAATGTTGACTGCTGTACTGAAATGTTCTGAAAGTACTCGTAGCAGAGCAGAAGATCAATGCAGAAATGAAACTAATATTGGAAAAGAGAACTTTTTTATTTTGGATATCTTGTACAGGTATAAATGAATGTAAAGGCTCCTGGGAACAGGTAGAAAGCAAGCTAGGAGTGTCAGTGCTGTAATAGAATAGGTTGGTAGAACAAGCATCCTGTGACAGGAAAAAAAGGAGCAACTGTAAAAAACATTGAAACACAATGAATGGCTTTTGTTGTTACTGTTAGTCTGTGGTTATGATTGTGATTTGCATATATAATTTAAATCAACGTTTTCATGTGTTAAGATTTTATCCAGAGCTGTCTGAAATTCAGTGGTAACATTCTTGCCACAAAGGCAAGGTATCTTTAAGGCATCTTTCCTAATTCTCTAATGCTAAGAACGTTATAGTGACAAGCAGGCTCCTCATGTAAGTTAGGCAGACACAGAGCTACTGGAAATCTTGGCTGTTGCACTGTTCACCTAACTACTCTTCCACTAAATCAGAATTAGAAGAACATACCATGTGTGCTCATCCTACAGTATCTCCTAAGTGTTAAAAAGACCTCTTCAGACCTAGTAGGTGGTGGCACAGATCTGCCTACCTGACTTCAGTCAAATGTTTCCTAAGAGAATCGCCAGACGACTGATAAATAATCTTAGCATAGAGTTTAATACTGTGTAGAACTACTTATTTCAGCTAGTATACCTGCCACAAGCGACCATTTTAGCTACCAAAAGTGATTTATTTCAAGTGTGGGTTCTGAGAGGAATTCCAGGCAGTGTTTACAGTGTTACAAAAACCAGATTCAATGACATGCTGTAAATCTTGTAAATAAATTTCATTTGCTGTGAGCCAAAATTTAAGAACTTTAAAGAGAAAACAGGTTTCTATTGTTGCAAAGTATTTGTGGTTGCTTAGGAAGAAATAAAAAGCAACTAAAAGTGATGGCATGTGCTGAAGTATATTTTATTTATACCCTGTTTATTTGTGAAGGAGATGAGGAAGATTAATAACGAGACTGCGTTCACAGAGAAAGATATTGTCAAGCATTATGTGTGGTGGGGGCAGAGAGAGGGAATTAGAGACAGGGAATAAAAATGTTTTGCAAAGACTTGGTAGCCTATAAGGTGAAGATCCTACATTGAGTTGAAATCTAGCGCATGAAAGAAATAACTTACGGCATTTACTGTCACAGAGAAACCAACCCATTTTCTGTCTTAAAGAAGGTGTTATTTTCATCCTGCCTCATCTATGACGCGCTGTGTATTTTCTGGA